AGTGGATGTGCTCGAAGTAGTGGTTGATGGTCTTGGTGGGGCAGTAGGGTTAGTATATGATTCTTCAGGTGTCGAGGTGGTGCTGGTAGTAGATGTTACGGCTGTGCCGGTGGTAGAGGCTGTGCTGGTAGTGCTGGTAGTAGAGGCTGTTTCGGTGGTAGCAGTAGATGTTACGGTAGTACTGGTAGTAGAGGCTGTGCTGGTAGTGGAGGCTGTGCTGGTAGTAGAGGCTGTTTTGGTGGTAGCAGTAGATGTTACGGTAGTACTGGTAGTAGAGGCTGTGCTGGTAGTGGAGGCTCTTTTGGTGGTAGAGCTTGTGCTGGCTGTGCTGGTAGTAGAGGCTGTGCTGGTAGAGGCTGTTTCGGTGGTAGACGTTGTGCTGGTAGTGGATGTGCTCGAAGTAGTGGTTGATGGTCTTGGTGGGGCAGTAGGGTTAGTATATGATTCTTCAGGTGTCGAGGTGGTGCTGGTAGTAGATGTTACGGCTGTGCCGGTGGTAGAGGCTGTGCTGGTAGTAGAGGCTGTTTTGGTGGTAGCAGTAGATGTTACGGTAGTACTGGTAGTAGAGGCTGTGCTGGTAGTGGAGGCTCTTTTGGTGGTAGAGCTTGTGCTGGCTGTGCTGGTAGTAGAGGCTGTGCTGGTAGAGGCTGTTTCGGTGGTAGACGCTGTGCTGGTAGTGGATGGGCTCGAAGTAGTGGTTGATGGTCTTGGTGGGGCAGTAGGGTTAGTATATGATTCTTCAGGTGTCGATGTGGTGCTGGTAGTAGATGTTACAGCTGTGCCGGTGGTAGAGGCTGTGCTGGTAGTGCTGGTAGTAGAGGCTGTTTCGGTGGTAGCAGTAGATGTTACGGTAGTGCTGGTAGTAGAGGCTGTGCTGGTAGTGGATGGGCTCGAAGTAGTGGTTGATGGTCTTGGTGGGGCAGTAGGGTTAGTATATGATTCTTCAGGTGTCGATGTGGTGCTGGTAGTAGATGTTACGGCTGTGCCGGTGGTAGAGGCTGTGCTGGTAGTGCTGGTAGTAGAGGCTGTGCTGGTAGAGGCTGTTTCGGTGGTAGACGCTGTGCTGGTAGTGGATGTGCTCGAAGTAGTGGTTGATGGTCTTGGTGGGGCAGTAGGGTTGGTATATGATTCTTCAGGTGTCGATGTGGTGCTGGTAGTAGATGTTACGGCTGTGCTGGTAGTAGAGGCTGTTTTGGTGGTAGCAGTAGATGTTACGGTAGTGCTGGTAGTAGAGGCTGTTTTGGTGCTAGCAGTAGATGTTACGGTAGTGCTGGTAGTAGAGGCTGTGCTGGTAGTGGATGTGCTCGAAGTAGTGGTTGATGGTCTTGGTGGGGCAGTAGGGTTAGTATATGATTCTTCAGGTGTCGATGTGGTGCTGGTAGTAGATGTTACGGCTGTGCCGGTGGTCGAGGCTGTGCTGGTAGTAGAGGCTGTTTTGGTGGTAACAGTAGATGTTACGGTAGTACTGGTAGTAGAGGCTGTGCTGGTAGTGGAGGCTCTTTTGGTGGTAGAGCTTGTGCTGGCTGTGCTGGTAGTAGAGGCTGTGCTGGTAGAGGCTGTTTCGGTGGTAGACGCTGTGCTGGTAGTGGATGGGCTCGAAGTAGTGGTTGATGGTCTTGGTGGGGCAGTAGGGTTAGTATATGATTCTTCAGGTGTCGATGTGGTGCTGGTAGTAGATGTTACAGCTGTGCCGGTGGTAGAGGCTGTGCTGGTAGTGCTGGTAGTAGAGGCTGTTTCGGTGGTAGCAGTAGATGTTACGGTAGTGCTGGTAGTAGAGGCTGTGCTGGTAGTGGATGGGCTCGAAGTAGTGGTTGATGGTCTTGGTGGGGCAGTAGGGTTAGTATATGATTCTTCAGGTGTCGATGTGGTGCTGGTAGTAGATGTTACGGCTGTGCCGGTGGTAGAGGCTGTGCTGGTAGTGCTGGTAGTAGAGGCTGTGCTGGTAGAGGCTGTTTCGGTGGTAGACGCTGTGCTGGTAGTGGATGTGCTCGAAGTAGTGCTTGATGGTCTTGGTGGGGCAGTAGGGTTAGTATATGATTCTTCAGGTGTCGATGTGGTGCTGGTAGTAGATGTTACGGCTGTGCCGGTGGTAGAGGCTGTGCTGGTAGTGCTGGTAGTAGAGGCTGTTTCGGTGGTAGCAGTAGATGTTACGGTAGTACTGGTAGTAGAGGCTGTGCTGGTAGTGGAGGCTGTGCTGGTAGTAGAGGCTGTTTTGGTGGTAGCAGTAGATGTTACGGTAGTACTGGTAGTAGAGGCTGTGCTGGTAGTGGAGGCTCTTTTGGTGGTAGAGCTTGTGCTGGCTGTGCTGGTAGTAGAGGCTATGCTGGTAGAGGCTGTTTCGGTGGTAGACGCTGTGCTGGTAGTGGATGTGCTCGAAGTAGTGGTTGATGGTCTTGGTGGGGCAGTAGGGTTAGTATATGATTCTTCAGGTGTCGATGTGGTGCTGGTAGTAGATGTTACGGCTGTGCCGGTGGTAGAGGCTGTGCTGGTAGTAGAGGCTGTGCTGGTAGTAGAGGCTGTTTTGGTTGTAGCAGTAGATGTTACGGTAGTGCTGGTAGTAGAGGCTGTGCTGGTAGTGGATGGGCTCGAAGTAGTGGTTGATGGTCTTGGTGGGGCAGTAGGGTTAGTATATGATTCTTCAGGTGTCGATGTGGTGCTGGTAGTAGATGTTACGGCTGTGCCGGTGGTAGAGGCTGTGCTGGTAGTGCTGGTAGTAGAGGCTGTGCTGGTAGAGGCTGTTTCGGTGGTAGACGCTGTGCTGGTAGTGGATGTGCTCGAAGTAGTGCTTGATGGTCTTGGTGGGGCAGTAGGGTTAGTATATGATTCTTCAGGTGTCGATGTGGTGCTGGTAGTAGATGTTACGGCTGTGCCGGTGGTAGAGGCTGTGCTGGTAGTGCTGGTAGTAGAGGCTGTTTCGGTGGTAGCAGTAGATGTTACGGTAGTACTGGTAGTAGAGGCTGTGCTGGTAGTAGAGGCTGTTTTGGTGGTAGCAGTAGATGTTACGGTAGTACTGGTAGTAGAGGCTGTGCTGGTAGTGGAGGCTCTTTTGGTGGTAGAGCTTGTGCTGGCTGTGCTGGTAGTAGAGGCTATGCTGGTAGAGGCTGTTTCGGTGGTAGACGCTGTGCTGGTAGTGGATGTGCTCGAAGTAGTGGTTGATGGTCTTGGTGGGGCAGTAGGGTTAGTATATGATTCTTCAGGTGTCGATGTGGTGCTGGTAGTAGATGTTACGGCTGTGCCGGTGGTAGAGGCTGTGCTGGTAGTAGAGGCTGTGCTGGTAGTAGAGGCTGTTTTGGTTGTAGCAGTAGATGTTACGGTAGTGCTGGTAGTAGAGGCTGTGCTGGTAGTGGATGGGCTCGAAGTAGTGGTTGATGGTCTTGGTGGGGCAGTAGGGTTAGTATATGATTCTTCAGGTGTCGATGTGGTGCTGGTAGTAGATGTTACGGCTGTGCCGGTGGTAGAGGCTGTGCTGGTAGTGCTGTTAGTGCTGGTAGTGCTGGTAGTGCTGGTAGTGCTGGTAGTGCTGGTAGTGCTGGTAGTAGAGGCTGTTTTGGTGGTAGCAGTAGATGTTACGGTAGTACTGGTAGTAGAGGCTGTTTTGGTGGTAGCAGTAGATGTTACGGTAGTGCTGGTAGTGGATGGGCTCGAAGTAGTGGTTGATGGTCTTGGTGGGGCAGTAGGGTTAGTATATGATTCTTCAGGTGTCGATGTGGTGCTGGTAGTAGATGTTACGGCTGTGCCGGTGGTAGAGGCTGTGCTGGTAGTGCTGGTAGTAGAGGCTGTTTCGGTGGTAGCAGTAGATGTTACGGTAGTACTGGTAGTAGAGGCTGTGCTGGTAGTGGAGGCTGTGCTGGTAGTAGAGGCTGTTTTGGTGGTAGCAGTAGATGTTACGGTAGTACTGGTAGTAGAGGCTGTGCTGGTAGTGGAGGCTGTGCTGGTAGTGGAGGCTCTTTTGGTGGTAGAGCTTGTGCTGGCTGTGCTGGTAGTAGAGGCTGTGCTGGTAGAGGCTGTTTCGGTGGTAGACGCTGTGCTGGTAGTGGATGTGCTCGAAGTAGTGGTTGATGGTCTTGGTGGGGCAGTAGGGTTAGTATATGATTCTTCAGGTGTCGAGGTGGTGCTGGTAGTAGATGTTACGGCTGTGCCGGTGGTAGAGGCTGTGCTGGTAGTAGAGGCTGTGCTGGTAGTAGAGGCTGTGCTGGTAGTAGAGGCTGTGCTGGTAGTAGAGGCTGTTTTGGTGGTAGCAGTAGATGTTACGGTAGTACTGGTAGTAGAGGCTGTGCTGGTAGTGGAGGCTCTTTTGGTGGTAGAGCTTGTGCTGGCTGTGCTGGTAGTAGAGGCTGTGCTGGTAGTAGAGGCTGTGCTGGTAGAGGCTGTTTCGGTGGTAGACGCTGTGCTGGTAGTGGATGGGCTCGAAGTAGTGGTTGATGGTCTTGGTGGGGCAGTAGGGTTAGTATATGATTCTTCAGGTGTCGATGTGGTGCTGGTAGTAGATGTTACAGCTGTGCCGGTGGTAGAGGCTGTGCTGGTAGTGCTGGTAGTAGAGGCTGTTTCGGTGGTAGCAGTAGATGTTACGGTAGTGCTGGTAGTAGAGGCTGTGCTGGTAGTGGATGGGCTCGAAGTAGTGGTTGATGGTCTTGGTGGGGCAGTAGGGTTAGTATATGATTCTTCAGGTGTCGATGTGGTGCTGGTAGTAGATGTTACGGCTGTGCCGGTGGTAGAGGCTGTGCTGGTAGTGCTGGTAGTAGAGGCTGTGCTGGTAGAGGCTGTTTCGGTGGTAGACGCTGTGCTGGTAGTGGATGTGCTCGAAGTAGTGGTTGATGGTCTTGGTGGGGCAGTAGGGTTAGTATATGATTCTTCAGGTGTCGATGTGGTGCTGGTAGTAGATGTTACGGCTGTGCTGGTAGTAGAGGCTGTTTTGGTGGTAGCAGTAGATGTTTACGGTAGTGCTGGTAGTAGAGGCTGTTTTGGTGGTAGTAGATGTTACGGTAGTGCTGGTAGTAGAGGCTGTGCTGGTAGTGGATGTGCTCGAAGTAGTGGTTGATGGTCTTGGTGGGGCAGTAGGGTTAGTATATGATTCTTCAGGTGTCGATGTGGTGCTGGTAGTAGATGTTACGGCTGTGCCGGTGGTAGAGGCTGTGCTGGTAGTAGAGGCTGTTTTGGTGGTAGCAGTAGATGTTACGGTAGTACTGGTAGTAGAGGCTGTGCTGGTAGTGGAGGCTCTTTTGGTGGTAGAGCTTGTGCTGGCTGTGCTGGTAGTAGAGGCTGTGCTGGTAGAGGCTGTTTCGGTGGTAGACGCTGTGCTGGTAGTGGATGGGCTCGAAGTAGTGGTTGATGGTCTTGGTGGGGCAGTAGGGTTAGTATATGATTCTTCAGGTGTCGATGTGGTGCTGGTAGTAGATGTTACAGCTGTGCCGGTGGTAGAGGCTGTTTCGGTGGTAGACGCTGTGCTGGTAGTGGATGGGCTCGAAGTAGTGGTTGATGGTCTTGGTGGGGCAGTAGGGTTAGTATATGATTCTTCAGGTGTCGATGTGGTGCTGGTAGTAGATGTTACAGCTGTGCCGGTGGTAGAGGCTGTGCTGGTAGTGCTGGTAGTAGAGGCTGTTTCGGTGGTAGCAGTAGATGTTACGGTAGTGCTGGTAGTAGAGGCTGTGCTGGTAGTGGATGGGCTCGAAGTAGTGGTTGATGGTCTTGGTGGGGCAGTAGGGTTAGTATATGATTCTTCAGGTGTCGATGTGGTGCTGGTAGTAGATGTTACGGCTGTGCCGGTGGTAGAGGCTGTGCTGGTAGTGCTGGTAGTAGAGGCTGTGCTGGTAGAGGCTGTTTCGGTGGTAGACGCTGTGCTGGTAGTGGATGTGCTCGAAGTAGTGGTTGATGGTCTTGGTGGGGCAGTAGGGTTAGTATATGATTCTTCAGGTGTCGATGTGGTGCTGGTAGTAGATGTTACGGCTGTGCTGGTAGTAGAGGCTGTTTTGGTGGTAGCAGTAGATGTTACGGTAGTGCTGGTAGTAGAGGCTGTTTTGGTGGTAGCAGTAGATGTTACGGTAGTGCTGGGTAGTAGAGGCTGTGCTGGTAGTGGATGTGCTCGAAGTAGTGGTTGATGGTCTTGGTGGGGCAGTAGGGTTAGTATATGATTCTTCAGGTGTCGAGGTGGTGCTGGTAGTAGATGTTTACGGCTGTGCCGGTGGTAGAGGCTGTGCTGGTAGTAGAGGCTGTTTTGGTGGTAGCAGTAGATGTTACGGTAGTACTGGTAGTAGAGGCTGTGCTGGTAGTGGAGGCTCTTTTGGTGGTAGAGCTTGTGCTGGCTGTGCTGGTAGTAGAGGCTGTGCTGGTAGAGGCTGTTTCGGTGGTAGACGCTGTGCTGGTAGTGGATGGGCTCGAAGTAGTGGTTGATGGTCTTGGTGGGGCAGTAGGGTTAGTATATGATTCTTCAGGTGTCGATGTGGTGCTGGTAGTAGATGTTACGGCTGTGCCGGTGGTAGAGGCTGTGCTGGTAGTGCTGGTAGTAGAGGCTGTGCTGGTAGAGGCTGTTTCGGTGGTAGACGCTGTGCTGGTAGTGGATGTGCTCGAAGTAGTGGTTGATGGTCTTGGTGGGGCAGTAGGGTTAGTATATGATTCTTCAGGTGTCGATGTGGTGCTGGTAGTAGATGTTACGGCTGTGCTGGTAGTAGAGGTTGTTTTGGTGGTAGCAGTAGATGTTACGGTAGTGCTGGTAGTAGAGGCTGTTTTGGTGGTAGCAGTAGATGTTACGGTAGTGCTGGTAGTAGAGGCTGTGCTGGTAGTGGATGTGCTCGAAGTAGTGGTTGATGGTCTTGGTGGGGCAGTAGGGTTAGTATATGATTCTTCAGGTGTCGATGTGGTGCTGGTAGTAGATGTTACGGCTGTGCCGGTGGTAGAGGCTGTGCTGGTAGTAGAGGCTGTTTTGATGGTAGCAGTAGATGTTACGGTAGTACTGGTAGTAGAGGCTGTGCTGGTAGTGGAGGCTCTTTTGGTGGTAGAGCTTGTGCTGGCTGTGCTGGTAGTAGAGGCTGTGCTGGTAGAGGCTGTTTCGGTGGTAGACGCTGTGCTGGTAGTGGATGGGCTCGAAGTAGTGGTTGATGGTCTTGGTGGGGCAGTAGGGTTAGTATATGATTCTTCAGGTGTCGATGTGGTGCTGGTAGTAGATGTTACAGCTGTGCCGGTGGTAGAGGCTGTTTCGGTGGTAGACGCTGTGCTGGTAGTAGAGGCTGTTTTGGTGGTAGCAGTAGATGTTACGGTAATACTGGTAGTAGAGGCTGTGCTGGTAGTGGAGGCTCTTTTGGTGGTAGAGCTTGTGCTGGCTGTGCCGGTGGTAGAGGCTGTGCTGGTAGTAGAGGCTGTTTTGGTGGTAGCAGTAGATGTTACGGTAGTACTGGTAGTAGAGGCTGTGCTGGTAGTGGAGGCTCTTTTGGTGGTAGAGCTTGTGCTGGCTGTGCTGGTAGTAGAGGCTGTGCTGGTAGAGGCTGTTTCGGTGGTAGACGCTGTGCTGGTAGTGGATGGGCTCGAAGTAGTGGTTGATGGTCTTGGTGGGGCAGTAGGGTTAGTATATGATTCTTCAGGTGTCGATGTGGTGCTGGTAGTAGATGTTACGGCTGTGCCGGTGGTAGAGGCTGTGCTGGTAGTGCTGGTAGTAGAGGCTGTGCTGGTAGAGGCTGTTTCGGTGGTAGACGCTGTGCTGGTAGTGGATGTGCTCGAAGTAGTGGTTGATGGTCTTGGTGGGGCAGTAGGGTTAGTATATGATTCTTCAGGTGTCGATGTGGTGCTGGTAGTAGATGTTACGGCTGTGCTGGTAGTAGAGGTTGTTTTGGTGGTAGCAGTAGATGTTACGGTAGTGCTGGTAGTAGAGGCTGTTTTGGTGGTAGCAGTAGATGTTACGGTAGTGCTGGTAGTAGAGGCTGTGCTGGTAGTGGATGTGCTCGAAGTAGTGGTTGATGGTCTTGGTGGGGCAGTAGGGTTAGTATATGATTCTTCAGGTGTCGATGTGGTGCTGGTAGTAGATGTTACGGCTGTGCCGGTGGTAGAGGCTGTGCTGGTAGTAGAGGCTGTTTTGATGGTAGCAGTAGATGTTACGGTAGTACTGGTAGTAGAGGCTGTGCTGGTAGTGGAGGCTCTTTTGGTGGTAGAGCTTGTGCTGGCTGTGCTGGTAGTAGAGGCTGTGCTGGTAGAGGCTGTTTCGGTGGTAGACGCTGTGCTGGTAGTGGATGGGCTCGAAGTAGTGGTTGATGGTCTTGGTGGGGCAGTAGGGTTAGTATATGATTCTTCAGGTGTCGATGTGGTGCTGGTAGTAGATGTTACAGCTGTGCCGGTGGTAGAGGCTGTTTCGGTGGTAGACGCTGTGCTGGTAGTAGAGGCTGTTTTGGTGGTAGCAGTAGATGTTACGGTAATACTGGTAGTAGAGGCTGTGCTGGTAGTGGAGGCTCTTTTGGTGGTAGAGCTTGTGCTGGCTGTGCTGGTAGTAGAGGCTGTGCTGGTAGAGGCTGTTTCGGTGGTAGACGCTGTGCTGGTAGTGGATGTGCTCGAAGTAGTGGTTGATGGTCTTGGTGGGGCAGTAGGGTTAGTATATGATTCTTCAGGTGTCGATGTGGTGCTGGTAGATGTTACGGCTGTGCCGGTGGTAGAGGCTGTGCTGGTAGTGCTGGTAGTAGAGGCTGTTTTGGTTGTAGCAGTAGATGTTACGGTAGTTCTGGTAGTAGAGGCTGTGCTGGTAGTGGATGTGCTCGAAGTAGTGGTTGATGGTCTTGGTGGGGCAGTAGGGTTAGTATATGATTCTTCAGGTGTCGATGTGGTGCTGGTAGTAGATGTTACGGCTGTGCCGGTGGTAGAGGCTGTGCTGGTAGTAGAGGCTGTTTTGGTGGTAGCAGTAGATGTTACGGTAGTACTGGTAGTAGAGGCTGTGCTGGTAGTGGAGGCTCTTTTGGTGGTAGAGCTTGTGCTGGCTGTGCTGGTAGTAGAGGCTGTGCTGGTAGAGGCTGTTTCGGTGGTAGACGCTGTGCTGGTAGTGGATGGGCTCGAAGTAGTGGTTGATGGTCTTGGTGGGGCAGTAGGGTTAGTATATGATTCTTCAGGTGTCGATGTGGTGCTGGTAGTAGATGTTACAGCTGTGCCGGTGGTAGAGGCTGTTTCGGTGGTAGACGCTGTGCTGGTAGTAGAGGCTGTTTTGGTGGTAGCAGTAGATGTTACGGTAATACTGGTAGTAGAGGCTGTGCTGGTAGTGGAGGCTCTTTTGGTGGTAGAGCTTGTGCTGGCTGTGCTGGTAGTAGAGGCTGTGCTGGTAGAGGCTGTTTCGGTGGTAGACGCTGTGCTGGTAGTGGATGTGCTCGAAGTAGTGGTTGATGGTCTTGGTGGGGCAGTAGGGTTAGTATATGATTCTTCAGGTGTCGATGTGGTGCTGGTAGATGTTACGGCTGTGCCGGTGGTAGAGGCTGTGCTGGTAGTGCTGGTAGTAGAGGCTGTTTTGGTTGTAGCAGTAGATGTTACGGTAGTTCTGGTAGTAGAGGCTGTGCTGGTAGTGGATGTGCTCGAAGTAGTGGTTGATGGTCTTGGTGGGGCAGTAGGGTTAGTATATGATTCTTCAGGTGTCGATGTGGTGCTGGTAGTAGATGTTACGGCTGTGCTGGTAGTAGAGGCTGTTTTGGTGGGTAGCAGTAGATGTTACGGTAGTGCTGGTAGTAGAGGCTGTTTTGGTGGTAGCAGTAGATGTTACGGTAGTGCTGGTAGTAGAGGCTGTGCTGGTAGTGGATGTGCTCGAAGTAGTGGTTGGTCTTGGTGGGGCAGTAGGGTTAGTATATGATTCTTCAGGTGTCGATGTGGTGCTGGTAGTAGATGTTACGGCTGTGCCGGTGGTCGAGGCTGTTTTGGTGGTAACAGTAGATGTTACGGTAGTACTGGTAGTAGAGGCTGTGCTGGTAGTGGAGGCTCTTTTGGTGGTAGAGCTTGTGCTGGCTGTGCTGGTAGTAGAGGCTGTGCTGGTAGAGGCTGTTTTGGTGGTAGACGCTGTGCTGGTAGTGGATGGGCTCGAAGTAGTGGTTGATGGTCTTGGTGGGGCAGTAGGGTTAGTATATGATTCTTCAGGTGTCGATGTGGTGCTGGTAGTAGATGTTACAGCTGTGCCGGTGGTAGAGGCTGTGCTGGTAGTGCTGGTAGTAGAGGCTGTTTCGGTGGTAGCAGTAGATGTTACGGTAGTGCTGGTAGTAGAGGCTGTGCTGGTAGTGGATGGGCTCGAAGTAGTGGTTGATGGTCTTGGTGGGGCAGTAGGGTTAGTATATGATTCTTCAGGTGTCGATGTGGTGCTGGTAGTAGATGTTACGGCTGTGCCGGTGGTAGAGGCTGTGCTGGTAGTGCTGGTAGTAGAGGCTGTGCTGGTAGAGGCTGTTTCGGTGGTAGACGCTGTGCTGGTAGTGGATGTGCTCGAAGTAGTGGTTGATGGTCTTGGTGGGGCAGTAGGGTTAGTATATGATTCTTCAGGTGTCGATGTGGTGCTGGTAGTAGATGTTACGGCTGTGCCGGTGGTAGAGGCTGTGCTGGTAGTGCTGGTAGTAGAGGCTGTTTCGGTGGTAGCAGTAGATGTTACGGTAGTACTGGTAGTAGAGGCTGTGCTGGTAGTGGAGGCTGTGCTGGTAGTAGAGGCTGTTTTGGTGGTAGCAGTAGATGTTACGGTAGTACTGGTAGTAGAGGCTGTGCTGGTAGTGGAGGCTCTTTTGGTGGTAGAGCTTGTGCTGGCTGTGCTGGTAGTAGAGGCTATGCTGGTAGAGGCTGTTTCGGTGGTAGACGCTGTGCTGGTAGTGGATGTGCTCGAAGTAGTGGTTGATGGTCTTGGTGGGGCAGTAGGGTTAGTATATGATTCTTCAGGTGTCGATGTGGTGCTGGTAGTAGATGTTACGGCTGTGCCGGTGGTAGAGGCTGTGCTGGTAGTAGAGGCTGTGCTGGTTAGTAGAGGCTGTTTTGGTTGTAGCAGTAGATGTTACGGTAGTGCTGGTAGTAGAGGCTGTGCTGGTAGTGGATGGGCTCGAAGTAGTGGTTGATGGTCTTGGTGGGGCAGTAGGGTTAGTATATGATTCTTCAGGTGTCGATGTGGTGCTGGTAGTAGATGTTACGGCTGTGCCGGTGGTAGAGGCTGTGCTGGTAGTGCTGTTAGTGCTGGTAGTGCTGGTAGTGCTGGTAGTGCTGGTAGTAGAGGCTGTTTTGGTGGTAGCAGTAGATGTTACGGTAGTACTGGTAGTAGAGGCTGTTTTGGTGGTAGCAGTAGATGTTACGGTAGTGCTGGTAGTGGATGGGCTCGAAGTAGTGGTTGATGGTCTTGGTGGGGCAGTAGGGTTAGTATATGATTCTTCAGGTGTCGATGTGGTGCTGGTAGTAGATGTTACGGCTGTGCCGGTGGTAGAGGCTGTGCTGGTAGTGCTGGTAGTAGAGGCTGTTTCGGTGGTAGCAGTAGATGTTACGGTAGTACTGGTAGTAGAGGCTGTGCTGGTAGTGGAGGCTGTGCTGGTAGTAGAGGCTGTTTTGGTGGTAGCAGTAGATGTTACGGTAGTACTGGTAGTAGAGGCTGTGCTGGTAGTGGAGGCTCTTTTGGTGGTAGAGCTTGTGCTGGCTGTGCTGGTAGTAGAGGCTATGCTGGTAGAGGCTGTTTCGGTGGTAGACGCTGTGCTGGTAGTGGATGTGCTCGAAGTAGTGGTTGATGGTCTTGGTGGGGCAGTAGGGTTAGTATATGATTCTTCAGGTGTCGATGTGGTGCTGGTAGTAGATGTTACGGCTGTGCCGGTGGTAGAGGCTGTGCTGGTAGTAGAGGCTGTGCTGGTAGTAGAGGCTGTTTTGGTTGTAGCAGTAGATGTTACGGTAGTGCTGGTAGTAGAGGCTGTGCTGGTAGTGGATGGGCTCGAAGTAGTGGTTGATGGTCTTGGTGGGGCAGTAGGGTTAGTATATGATTCTTCAGGTGTCGATGTGGTGCTGGTAGTAGATGTTACGGCTGTGCCGGTGGTAGAGGCTGTGCTGGTAGTGCTGTTAGTGCTGGTAGTGCTGGTAGTGCTGGTAGTAGAGGCTGTTTTGGTGGTAGCAGTAGATGTTACGGTAGTACTGGTAGTAGAGGCTGTTTTGGTGGTAGCAGTAGATGTTACGGTAGTGCTGGTAGTGGATGGGCTCGAAGTAGTGGTTGATGGTCTTGGTGGGGCAGTAGGGTTAGTATATGATTCTTCAGGTGTCGATGTGGTGCTGGTAGTAGATGTTACGGCTGTGCCGGTGGTAGAGGCTGTGCTGGTAGTGCTGGTAGTAGAGGCTGTGCTGGTAGAGGCTGTTTCGGTGGTAGACGCTGTGCTGGTAGTGGATGTGCTCGAAGTAGTGGTTGATGGTCTTGGTGGGGCAGTAGGGTTAGTATATGATTCTTCAGGTGTCGATGTGGTGCTGGTAGTAGATGTTACGGCTGTGACGGTGGTAGAGGCTGTGCTGGTAGTGCTGGTAGTAGAGGCTGTGCTGGTAGTAGAGGCTGTGCTGGTAGTGCTGGTAGTAGAGGCTGTGCTGGTAGTAGAGGCTGTGCTGGTAGTAGAGGCTGTGCTGGTAGTAGAGGCTGTGCTGGTAGAGGCTGTTTCGGTGGTAGACGCTGTGCTGGTAGTGGATGTGCTCGAAGTAGTGGTTGATGGTCTTGGTGGGGCAGTAGGGTTAGTATATGATTCTTCAGGTGTCGATGTGGTGCTGGTAGTAGATGTTACGGCTGTGCTGGTAGTAGAGGCTGTTTTGGTGGTAGCAGTAGATGTTACGGTAGTGCTGGTAGTAGAGGCTGTTTTGGTGGTAGCAGTAGATGTTACGGTAGTGCTGGTAGTAGAGGCTGTGCTGGTAGTGGATGTGCTCGAAGTAGTGGTTGATGGTCTTGGTGGGGCAGTAGGGTTAGTATATGATTCTTCAGGTGTCGATGTGGTGCTGGTAGTAGATGTTACGGCTGTGCTGGTAGTAGAGGCTGTTTTGGTGGTAGCAGTAGATGTTACGGTAGTGCTGGTAGTAGAGGCTGTTTTGGTGGTAGCAGTAGATGTTACGGTTGTGCTGGTAGTAGAGGCTGTGCTGGTAGTGGATGGGCTCGAAGTAGTGGTTGATGGTCTTGGTGGGGCAGTAGGGTTAGTATATGATTCTTCAGGTGTCGATGTGGTGCTGGTAGTAGATGTTACGGCTGTGCCGGTGGTAGAGGCTGTGCTGGTAGTGCTGGTAGTAGAGGCTGTTTTGGTGGTAGCAGTAGATGTTACGGTAGTGCTGGTAGTAGAGGCTGTGCTGGTAGTGGATGTGCTCGAAGTAGTGGTTGATGGTCTTGGTGGGGCAGTAGGGTTAGTATATGATTCTTCAGGTGTCGATGTGGTGCTGGTAGTAGATGTTACGGCTGTGCCGGTGGTAGAGGCTGTGCTGGTAGTGCTGGTAGTAGAGGCTGTTTTGGTGGTAGCAGTAGATGTTACGGTAGTACTGGTAGTAGAGGCTGTGCTGGTAGTGGAGGCTCTTTTGGTGGTAGAGCTTGTGCTGGCTGTGCTGGTAGTAGAGGCTGTGCTGGTAGTAGAGGCTATGCTGGTAGAGGCTGTTTCGGTGGTAGACGCTGTGCTGGTAGTGGATGTGCTCGAAGTAGTGGTTGATGGTCTTGGTGGGGGCAGTAGGGTTAGTATATGATTCTTCAGGTGTCGATGTGGTGCTGGTAGTAGATGTTACGGCTGTGCCGGTGGTAGAGGCTGTGCTGGTAGTAGAGGCTGTGCTGGTAGTAGAGGCTGTTTTGGTTGTAGCAGTAGATGTTACGGTAGTGCTGGTAGTAGAGGCTGTGCTGGTAGTGGATGGGCTCGAAGTAGTGGTTGATGGTCTTGGTGGGGCAGTAGGGTTAGTATATGATTCTTCAGGTGTCGATGTGGTGCTGGTAGTAGATGTTACGGCTGTGCCGGTGGTAGAGGCTGTGCTGGTAGTGCTGTTAGTGCTGGTAGTGCTGGTAGTGCTGGTAGTAGAGGCTGTTTTGGTGGTAGCAGTAGATGTTACGGTAGTACTGGTAGTAGAGGCTGTTTTGGTGGTAGCAGTAGATGTTACGGTAGTGCTGGTAGTGGATGGGCTCGAAGTAGTGGTTGATGGTCTTGGTGGGGCAGTAGGGTTAGTATATGATTCTTCAGGTGTCGATGTGGTGCTGGTAGTAGATGTTACGGCTGTGCCGGTGGTAGAGGCTGTGCTGGTAGTGGTGGTAGTAGAGGCTGTTTCGGTGGTAGCAGATGTTACGGTAGTACTGGTAGTAGAGGCTGTGCTGGTAGTGGAGGCTGTGCTGGTAGTAGAGGCTGTTTTGGTGGTAGCAGTAGATGTTACGGTAGTACTGGTAGTAGAGGCTGTGCTGGTAGTGGAGGCTCTTTTGGTGGTAGAGCTTGTGCTGGCTGTGCTGGTAGTAGAGGCTGTGCTGGTAGAGGCTGTTTCGGTGGTAGACGCTGTGCTGGTAGTGGATGTGCTCGAAGTAGTGGTTGATGGTCTTGGTGGGGCAGTAGGGTTAGTATATGATTCTTCAGGTGTCGAGGTGGTGCTGGTAGTAGATGTTACGGCTGTGCCGGTGGTAGAGGCTGTGCTGGTAGTAGAGGCTGTTTTGGTGGTAGCAGTAGATGTTACAGTAGTACTGGTAGTAGAGGCTGTGCTGGTAGTGGAGGCTCTTTTGGTAGTAGAGCTTGTGCTGGCTGTGCTGGTAGTAGAGGCTGTGCTGGTAGAGGCTGTTTCGGTGGTAGACGCTGTGCTGGTAGTGGATGGGCTCGAAGTAGTGGTTGATGGTCTTGGTGGGGCCGTAGGGTTAGTATATGATTCTTCAGGTGTCGATGTGGTGCTGGTAGTAGATGTTACAGCTGTGCCGGTGGTAGAGGCTGTGCTGGTAGTGCTGGTAGTAGAGGCTGTTTCGGTGGTAGCAGTAGATGTTACGGTAGTGCTGGTAGTAGAGGCTGTGCTGGTAGTGGATGGGCTCGTAGTGGTTGATGGTCTTGGTGGGGCAGTAGGGTTAGTATATGATTCTTCAGGTGTCGATGTGGTGCTGGTAGTAGATGTTACAGCTGTGCCGGTGGTAGAGGCTGTGCTGGTAGTGCTGGTAGTAGAGGCTGTTTTGGTGGTAGCAGTAGATGTTACGGCTGTGCTGGTAGTAGAGGCTGTTTTGGTGGTAGCAGTAGATGTTACGGTAGTGCTGGTAGTAGAGGCTGTTTTGGTGGTAGCAGTAGATGTTACGGTAGTGCTGGTAGTAGAGGCTGTGCTGGTAGTGGATGTGCTCGAAGTAGTGGTTGATGGTCTTGGTGGGGCAGTAGGGTTAGTATATGATTCTTCAGGTGTCGATGTGGTGCTGGTAGTAGATGTTACGGCTGTGCCGGTGGTAGAGGCTGTGCTGGTAGTGCTGGTAGTAGAGGCTGTTTCGGTGGTAGCAGTAGATGTTACGGTAGTGCTGGTAGTAGAGGCTGTGCTGGTAGTGGATGGGCTCGAAGTAGTGGTTGATGGTCTTGGTGGGGCAGTAGGGTTAGTATATGATTCTTCAGGTGTCGATGTGGTGCTGGTAGTAGATGTTACGGCTGTGCTGGTAGTAGAGGCTGTTTTGGTGGTAGCAGTAGATGTTACGGTAGTGCTGGTAGTAGAGGCTGTTTTGGTGGTAGCAGTAGATGTTACGGTAGTGCTGGTAGTAGAGGCTGTGCTGGTAGTGGATGTGCTCGAAGTAGTGGTTGATGGTCTTGGTGGGGCAGTAGGGTTAGTATATGATTCTTCAGGTGTCGATGTGGTGCTGGTAGTAGATGTTACGGCTGTGCCGGTGGTAGAGGCTGTGCTGGTAGTGCTGGTAGTAGAGGCTGTTTCGGTGGTAGCAGTAGATGTTACGGTAGTGCTGGTAGTAGAGGCTGTGCTGGTAGTGGAGGCTCTTTTGGTGGTAGAGCTTGTGCTGGCTGTGCTGGTAGTAGAGGCTGTGCTGGTAGAGGCTGTTTCGGTGGTAGACGCTGTGCTGGTAGTGGATGTGCTCGAAGTAGTGGTTGATGGTCTTGGTGGGGCAGTAGGGTTAGTATATGATTCTTCAGGTGTCGATGTGGTGCTGGTAGTAGATGTTACGGCTGTGCCGGTGGTAGAGGCTGTGCTGGTAGTGCTGGTAGTAGAGGCTGTGCTGGTAGAGGCTGTTTCGGTGGTAGACGCTGTGCTGGTAGTGGATGTGCTCGAAGTAGTGGTTGATGGTCTTGGTGGGGCAGTAGGGTTAGTATATGATTCTTCAGGTGTCGATGTGGTGCTGGTAGTAGATGTTACGGCTGTGCTGGTAGTAGAGGCTGTTTTGGTGGTAGCAGTAGATGTTACGGTAGTGCTGGTAGTAGAGGCTGTTTTGGTGGTAGCAGTAGATGTTACGGTTGTGCTGGTAGTAGAGGCTGTGCTGGTAGTGGATGGGCTCGAAGTAGTGGTTGATGGTCTTGGTGGGGCAGTAGGGTTAGTATATGATTCTTCAGGTGTCGATGTGGTGCTGGTAGTAGATGTTACGGCTGTGCCGGTGGTAGAGGCTGTGCTGGTAGTGCTGGTAGTAGAGGCTGTTTTGGTGGTAGCAGTAGATGTTACGGTAGTGCTGGTAGTAGAGGCTGTGCTGGTAGTGGATGTGCTCGAAGTAGTGGTTGATGGTCTTGGTGGGGCAGTAGGGTTAGTATATGATTCTTCAGGTGTCGATGTGGTGCTGGTAGTAGATGTTACGGCTGTGCCGGTGGTAGAGGCTGTGCTGGTAGTGCTGGTAGTAGAGGCTGTTTTGGTGGTAGCAGTAGATGTTACGGTAGTACTGGTAGTAGAGGCTGTGCTGGTAGTGGAGGCTCTTTTGGTGGTAGAGCTTGTGCTGGCTGTGCTGGTAGTAGAGGCTGTGCTGGTAGTAGAGGCTATGCTGGTAGAGGCTGTTTCGGTGGTAGACGCTGTGCTGGTAGTGGATGTGCTCGAAGTAGTGGTTGATGGTCTTGGTGGGGCAGTAGGGTTAGTATATGATTCTTCAGGTGTCGATGTGGTGCTGGTAGTAGATGTTACGGCTGTGCCGGTGGTAGAGGCTGTGCTGGTAGTAGAGGCTGTGCTGGTAGTAGAGGCTGTTTTGGTTGTAGCAGTAGATGTTACGGTAGTGCTGGTAGTAGAGGCTGTGCTGGTAGTGGATGGGCTCGAAGTAGTGGTTGATGGTCTTGGTGGGGCAGTAGGGTTAGTATATGATTCTTCAGGTGTCGATGTGGTGCTGGTAGTAGATGTTACGGCTGTGCCGGTGGTAGAGGCTGTGCTGGTAGTGCTGTTAGTGCTGGTAGTGCTGGTAGTGCTGGTAGTAGAGGCTGTTTTGGTGGTAGCAGTAGATGTTACGGTAGTACTGGTAGTAGAGGCTGTTTTGGTGGTAGCAGTAGATGTTACGGTAGTGCTGGTAGTGGATGGGCTCGAAGTAGTGGTTGATGGTCTTGGTGGGGCAGTAGGGTTAGTATATGATTCTTCAGGTGTCGATGTGGTGCTGGTAGTAGATGTTACGGCTGTGCCGGTGGTAGAGGCTGTGCTGGTAGTGGTGGTAGTAGAGGCTGTTTCGGTGGTAGCAGATGTTACGGTAGTACTGGTAGTAGAGGCTGTGCTGGTAGTGGAGGCTGTGCTGGTAGTAGAGGCTGTTTTGGTGGTAGCAGTAGATGTTACGGTAGTACTGGTAGTAGAGGCTGTGCTGGTAGTGGAGGCTCTTTTGGTGGTAGAGCTTGTGCTGGCTGTGCTGGTAGTAGAGGCTGTGCTGGTAGAGGCTGTTTCGGTGGTAGACGCTGTGCTGGTAGTGGATGTGCTCGAAGTAGTGGTTGATGGTCTTGGTGGGGCAGTAGGGTTAGTATATGATTCTTCAGGTGTCGAGGTGGTGCTGGTAGTAGATGTTACGGCTGTGCCGGTGGTAGAGGCTGTGCTGGTAGTAGAGGCTGTTTTGGTGGTAGCAGTAGATGTTACGGTAGTACTGGTAGTAGAGGCTGTGCTGGTAGTGGAGGCTCTTTTGGTAGTAGAGCTTGTGCTGGCTGTGCTGGTAGTAGAGGCTGTGCTGGTAGAGGCTGTTTCGGTGGTAGACGCTGTGCTGGTAGTGGATGGGCTCGAAGTAGTGGTTGATGGTCTTGGTGGGGCCGTAGGGTTAGTATATGATTCTTCAGGTGTCGATGTGGTGCTGGTAGTAGATGTTACAGCTGTGCCGGTGGTAGAGGCTGTGCTGGTAGTGCTGGTAGTAGAGGCTGTTTCGGTGGTAGCAGTAGATGTTACGGTAGTGCTGGTAGTAGAGGCTGTGCTGGTAGTGGATGGGCTCGTAGTGGTTGATGGTCTTGGTGGGGCAGTAGGGTTAGTATATGATTCTTCAGGTGTCGATGTGGTGCTGGTAGTAGATGTTACAGCTGTGCCGGTGGTAGAGGCTGTGCTGGTAGTGCTGGTAGTAGAGGCTGTTTTGGTGGTAGCAGTAGATGTTACGGCTGTGCTGGTAGTAGAGGCTGTTTTGGTGGTAGCAGTAGATGTTACGGTAGTGCTGGTAGTAGAGGCTGTTTTGGTGGTAGCAGTAGATGTTACGGTAGTGCTGGTAGTAGAGGCTGTGCTGGTAGTGGATGTGCTCGAAGTAGTGGTTGATGGTCTTGGTGGGGCAGTAGGGTTAGTATATGATTCTTCAGGTGTCGATGTGGTGCTGGTAGTAGATGTTACGGCTGTGCCGGTGGTAGAGGCTGTGCTGGTAGTGCTGGTAGTAGAGGCTGTTTCGGTGGTAGCAGTAGATGTTACGGTAGTGCTGGTAGTAGAGGCTGTGCTGGTAGTGGATGTGCTCGAAGTAGTGGTTGATGGTCTTGGTGGGGCAGTAGGGTTAGTATATGATTCTTCAGGTGTCGATGTGGTGCTGGTAGTAGATGTTACGGCTGTGCCGGTGGTAGAGGCTGTGCTGGTAGTGCTGTTAGTGCTGGTAGTGCTGGTAGTGCTGGTAGTAGAGGCTGTTTTGGTGGTAGCAGTAGATGTTACGGTAGTACTGGTAGTAGAGGCTGTTTTGGTGGTAGCAGTAGATGTTACGGTAGTGCTGGTAGTGGATGGGCTCGAAGTAGTGGTTGATGGTCTTGGTGGGGCAGTAGGGTTAGTATATGATTCTTCAGGTGTCGATGTGGTGCTGGTAGTAGATGTTACGGCTGTGCCGGTGGTAGAGGCTGTGCTGGTAGTGGTGGTAGTAGAGGCTGTTTCGGTGGTAGCAGATGTTACGGTAGTACTGGTAGTAGAGGCTGTGCTGGTAGTGGAGGCTGTGCTGGTAGTAGAGGCTGTTTTGGTGGTAGCAGTAGATGTTACGGTAGTACTGGTAGTAGAGGCTGTGCTGGTAGTGGAGGCTCTTTTGGTGGTAGAGCTTGTGCTGGCTGTGCTGGTAGTAGAGGCTGTGCTGGTAGAGGCTGTTTCGGTGGTAGACGCTGTGCTGGTAGTGGATGTGCTCGAAGTAGTGGTTGATGGTCTTGGTGGGGCAGTAGGGTTAGTATATGATTCTTCAGGTGTCGAGGTGGTGCTGGTAGTAGATGTTACGGCTGTGCCGGTGGTAGAGGCTGTGCTGGTAGTAGAGGCTGTTTTGGTGGTAGCAGTAGATGTTACGGTAGTACTGGTAGTAGAGGCTGTGCTGGTAGTGGAGGCTCTTTTGGTAGTAGAGCTTGTGCTGGCTGTGCTGGTAGTAGAGGCTGTGCTGGTAGAGGCTGTTTCGGTGGTAGACGCTGTGCTGGTAGTGGATGGGCTCGAAGTAGTGGTTGATGGTCTTGGTGGGGCCGTAGGGTTAGTATATGATTCTTCAGGTGTCGATGTGGTGCTGGTAGTAGATGTTACAGCTGTGCCGGTGGTAGAGGCTGTGCTGGTAGTGCTGGTAGTAGAGGCTGTTTCGGTGGTAGCAGTAGATGTTACGGTAGTGCTGGTAGTAGAGGCTGTGCTGGTAGTGGATGGGCTCGTAGTGGTTGATGGTCTTGGTGGGGCAGTAGGGTTAGTATATGATTCTTCAGGTGTCGATGTGGTGCTGGTAGTAGATGTTACAGCTGTGCCGGTGGTAGAGGCTGTGCTGGTAGTGCTGGTAGTAGAGGCTGTTTTGGTGGTAGCAGTAGATGTTACGGCTGTGCTGGTAGTAGAGGCTGTTTTGGTGGTAGCAGTAGATGTTACGGTAGTGCTGGTAGTAGAGGCTGTTTTGGTGGTAGCAGTAGATGTTACGGTAGTGCTGGTAGTAGAGGCTGTGCTGGTAGTGGATGTGCTCGAAGTAGTGGTTGATGGTCTTGGTGGGGCAGTAGGGTTAGTATATGATTCTTCAGGTGTCGATGTGGTGCTGGTAGTAGATGTTACGGCTGTGCCGGTGGTAGAGGCTGTGCTGGTAGTGCTGGTAGTAGAGGCTGTTTCGGTGGTAGCAGTAGATGTTACGGTAGTGCTGGTAGTAGAGGCTGTGCTGGTAGTGGATGTGCTCGAAGTAGTGGTTGATGGTCTTGGTGGGGCAGTAGGGTTAGTATATGATTCTTCAGGTGTCGATGTGGTGCTGGTAGTAGATGTTACGGCTGTGCCGGTGGTAGAGG